AACATACAGAGCTCTCGCTTTATTGTGGAGATGAAAGCTACGTTGGCCTCCATATGCGGTGCCGCGATCACCTGCGACTGGAAAAAACTGTGGCACTGCAATCGTGCATTCACCAAGAAAATTGTCGGTAGTACAAACGGAATCACACCTGTCTCGAGCAACCCAGCCGGTCACCACAGCTGCCATTTTCTCCAGAAATGGCAGCTGTGCGAGGACCGCCGCCGTAATGATACCAAACATGGTCACACCGCAGAGGCCTTTGCGAAACAAATCAAGCAGAAGAGGAACCTTTAGCTAACGTGACAAAGAAGGTGCGGCCGACAACAGTGACGACAACCACGGGCTCCGCTGCTCTAGACAGCTGTGATTCTATGCGTGCATGAATTTGGCAAGTTTTCGTGCTTGCGTCTTCGAGTGCACTTGTGGATCTATACTTTCGCGTTTTGGATTCTCTTTCCGACAAAAAGGCAGTGGCCTGCGGCTTAACCTCAAGGGTAGATTTGAATCGGTCAGTCCGAACAGGTCGCGGTGGCGAAGTGAAGCTGCCGAACTTCGTATTTCGACAGAGCGGCTGCAGGCCGCACAAAGTCTTAAGAACTGAAATAACGAAGTTTCGGCAAATGCAGCTGCAACCCATAATGCGTCATGCGTTGCAGCCCCCACAGACCATAGCGCCAGTTCTTTCTACTATACTACTGTGATATTATGTTCATTATGGTGGGTATGCTATAGTGAATATTACTGTAATGAGTTGAAAACTTGCATTCGTCCGGGAAAACGTTGCGATGGTGTGCAGTCGCGATGTAATGCATCAGACTTGCTTTGCGCTTCAATGACCAGGGCCTGGTTTGTGGTATTCGACCACCTGCGACAGTTGCACCGACGCTTGTTCTGACGCTGGTGCTCCAGGCGGGCGAGCTGCTTTTATTCCGTGAGGAAGCCGCTGCTGCTAGACGTGCGCGGTACAACTCAGAGCAGCGGCTGCACGTTCCACTAATTTCGATTGCGATTGGAACTCCGCTATGTCATACCTTCGAGCGAACAACATGCGTCCGGTCAATAGTGAGTCCAGAGGGCTTCTGGTAAAAACCGCACGGGCGCGACCTCCACGTCACGAGATAAGGGGGATCAACGATTGGATGGGAAGTGCCGCTGCCGAGCATCGCGATGACGAGTGGTCAGTTGTATAGTTGTAGTGGTGAGTTGTAGGTGAAGGTATGTAAAAGCTGCATCTTGCCAGTACTTACCCACAGAGCAGAAACCTAGAGGCTTACAAAGAGGGCTCAGCTGAAATTGAGTGCGACGCATGTAGCCAGCGATGGAAAGGAAAATGATATGCGTAACCTTAAGAGAGAAGAAGAGAGTAAAGTGGGCCAGAGAACAAACCGGGGTTAAAGGCCAACTCGGGCGATTTTTCTAGGTCAATGGATCTGAGTGAAATTCGCTGGGTATACGTTCTTTTGCACAGTTAATTCCGTTATTTATGCCGAATTTGCAGGCTTGAGAGATGCGCGGATCGTTTGCGAAAGAATTTTAAAGATTGCCTCAAAAAGCTCACTTTGCCTCGTAATTGCGTCATATTTGCCTCATTTCCTCATAATTGGCAACAATGTCTGTGTGACGTCATGTTTGGCATGTCAGCGGAAGTGACGCAGCTGATGGCATCGTTATTTTGGCCGCTACAGCGTTTATTGTGCAGGCCACAAGGTGACGGCGGCGGTGTTTGGCACGGGTATAGCACGGAAAAGCTTTCTTCCTGCCTCTGTGGTGTTTAGCCGGCGGATCGCTGGTGTGCCTTTCACAGTTTTCATATTCCACGCCGGCGGGACCAGTATATGACCTCCGTTGTTTACTAAATGGCACGTCATACGCAGACAGGGCGCCTGGTTGTGTTTCGGTATTGCACCTTTTTGCTTATTAAAAACTATTTTCGAACTTCCTGAGCATTTGGGGTCGATACAAGAGTGCCTCGGGAACATAGAAACACCACCATGACCTTGACATGGTCGAAAATCGCCGGAGTTGACCTTTAAGGATATCATAGTTGTAATCAAGAAGAAAAAATGGACGTGGGCCGCGCGCGTAGCACTCGAAGGCAGAATAACTGCTGATTATTAAGAGTAACTGACTGGATTCTCAGAGAAGGCCAACGAACGAGGGGGGGGGGGGCGAAAAGTTAGGTGCGCCTATAGAATCACTAAGTTCCCAGGTATAACGTGCCAAATAAAAGCACAAGGCAGGGTTGATTGGCGGATCATGGGAGAGGCCTTTGCCCTGCAGTGGGCGTAGTCAGGTTGACGATAATGACGACCGAGTGATAATTGCATACCTGAAGTAAAAAAAAATTACAGAACATTACCGTTTACATTTCGAGCGCTAAATCTGCTTCAGTAAAAAATAGGAATGGGGATCATCACAGTGATAGAAAATAGGTACTGTAACTCATATTGTTACGGGAAAAAATTGCATTAACTTCGCCTGTAAGGGTATAGAGCTTAGCCTGTTGCCTTAACCGAGAGAGAGGGGGGGGAAGAGAGAGGGAAATCAAGATGAGGAAATGCAAAGTCAACCAGACGAGCGTCCGGTTTGCTGTCCTGCACTGGGGATAAAAGGATGAGGATTGAAAAAAAAAAAGAGAGAGAAGGCGAGCACTTGACGTTCAAAACGTACATTCAGTCACTACATGACTTCAGTGTTCTGACATGCACTTCAGTAATCATTACGGCTCACCCCCGGCCATCTAAAAAGCCGCGATTTCCAGATCTTAAAGAAATGTTCTTAAACAATCGCGATGCTTCTGTAACTTAGAAGTGTGGCAGCTTGGGCTAGTTGGTATGGCATGACGATAGTTATAGCACGAGAACAAAACGACGACACAGAGTCAAGAAGGACACAAAAGACACCTCTCTGTGTCGTTTTGTTCCCGCGCTATAACTATCGTCAGGCTTTTGTAACGTTGTGGCACAGCCTGTGTGGGCATTGAAAAGTCATTGTGGGTGACATCCGAATACCTCAAAATAAATAACGCGTGGACCAATACGAAATATACATTAAGGGTAAACGTTTATTAACTCTCTGTAATGCTAGCAACTATCTACGGAATCAGCCCTGCAAGATAATCTCGCTACAGGTCGAGGGCCGAAATGCCACACCCGCGAACTGTAATGAAAATGCAGCTATGCTATCGAAAGCCAGCAGGAGACAAAAAAAAAAAGCGTGATTTGCGTCAACGAAGGGTTATTGCCAGCGCCGCCGTCGGTGTTATACGACGCGAATAACAACCACGTGTTTCGTTTTACAGCTTCGCTATAAAATCAAACGTGGACCACGTTTCTCCTGTTTTATACCGTTTTCGATCATTTTCTATAAGCAGCTTACCCATTTGCTTGCTTGCAGGAACGAAACTTTATAAGGGGGGACTTGGTTTTAACGTAGGATAAAAACATAGGCACGTGGCCTTGGTTAAAGTTACGCCATTCATGGCTGTCGCTTTCTAACTGCGCTTAGGGGCTTTCGTGCGTGTCTGCGTCAAAAGGTGACGTAAAACTGAAAGCGATAGAGCGCATATCGTTAACCGCATCCTGCGGACGTAATCTTTCACTCGTGGTTGCCATCGCAGGTCAATAGAAAGGCAACCGTTTGAACCGCTTAAAGAGCTTGTTATAAAATAATATACGTGAAAATAATACTTGCTGGATTTTAGAGCAGCAATACCACGACATGATTATGAAAGACGCCGTAGTGCCGGGCTCCAGAAATTTCGACCACCCGGGGTTCCTTAACGTGTACTTAAGCCTAAACAAAATATAGCTGAAATGTAGTTGTGAAAACCATTGCGCTTAATTATTTCTTTACTACTTATAGAACGCGAGTCAACGGTGATCAAATCGCCCCAAGCAAGAATTTAAAAATAGAGGCAACCCTACCAACACTTGCCCCATATAGCAGATTTCTTTAAGCATTAATGTTTAGTTTTCTGCGTTGTTCATTTTTTCCTCCACGAGCAGCGGCGACTTTCAACAGCGACTCAAATATAGCTCTTTACATGGTTTGCAATGCTTGCGAATGCGGCAGATGATTCAGTATTGAGACCTTCTCGGAAGGGACGTTTTTTTGAACGATTCTGAGGCGCCGGCAGTCGATCGGTTTTTCTGCTGTCTCTAACAGAAATTACTGTGTGGATGACGCGTCATGGGCTTCGGCTTTTCAGAGCGAAATCTTGACGATTAAACAAGTCGAATAAAACCCATGTCAGACAGGAACGACGCGCAACTTGTAACTCAGTTAGGAGTGAAAATCAAATCGTGAATGGGCACAGGCCCAGGTTGTACAACCTCGAGAGGTCACGCCTTGCCGTTTCTCTTCTCGAGTGACGACAGTTGCGTAGCCAGTGGTTGGCACACCAGTCCCGCACCCCATCACCCATCAGCCCCTCCCCCCCCCCCCACTCCTTATTTTTTTTTGCCATTGTCTACAAGGTGCAAAATGACCATTATCCTTCCCGGTCTACACTTAATATCAAGAAGGTCAAGAACATAAAGAACCTTCGAACAATGGGTCAAACTCTCTTAGAATTGAGTTACAGTGGTGGTGGATTTCCTTGTCTACTTTACAGGCTATAAACCTTATAATGCCTAAAAGCAGTTGTGCCTTCAGAAATATTCTGAGAAAACTGTCACCATTTTTACGTTAGTATAGATCATTTATTAATAAAAAAGCTAATGAAATTTTATTTGAGGCATTACGTATTTAGTTTTTCATGGAATAGTCACTTTTATTATAGTGGAACTTCATTGTAACATTATAAATACGCAATAACTCCTTTTTCATGAACCACTGAGAGCTTTATTACTTTTTAGGCATCATATTCAACGTATAAAATACAGTGGGCAATAGCAGTTAATGTTTTTCACGCTCCCTTGTTCTTATTAGGTTGTGCCTAACGAAGAAACCAGCCCTGAAATAATTACCATCTTCTTAGTTTATGCGGAGTCACACTGTCATAGAGAAGTTGCGTCAAGCGGGTGGCTCTTCCGCTGGGCCGACACGCCTGCGCTAGCGGCCATCTTGAAGAAGGCGCTTTCGGGGTTGGAGAGTAAGGAAGCCGGAGTGTCGTATTCTTTCACTTTTCCTTTATCCATGACGAGTATCCTGAAAATACAGAACAGGAGCAGCGGTCTTGCACAATAGCGTTGGAGTTGCATGAACTAAAAGCAGATTGAACGAATAAAGACCCTCGATCAGTTATTTGAAAATTCTCTCATCTGACGCCTTCGTTTCCTATCCCCCAAATGCAGAATGGAAAACGGGACGCGCACATGGTTGATCTCTCTGCCTTTCATTCCTTCATCTTCTCCTCCTCGTTGAGACCTCTAATATTTTTAACTTTGGGAGTGGTTTAATAATCACTGCCCCTGTGCCATTTCCACTAATTACACTTTGATTAGAAAAAAAAGAGAGACTAAGCTCACGTTCTCCTATAAGCTCAATTAGTTTTGTTTTCGTTTTAGTTTCCTCGTTCTATAGGCTGGAGCAATTTAGAGCTTTGAAAAAGCTGACAGTATCAAAATTTTAGACAGCCAAGAAAACAAATAAATATGTGGAAAGAAATCAAGCCAGGAAATGTGAAAAGCAATATTTACGCGTTAACAAAAACATAAAAGTACAACGACTCCATTTGGCATGTAGGAATTGGGCTTGCGCCAAGCTGCCTTTGGCGTTTATGCAAATGTTTTGAAGAACATCATTTTTCCGGCACTGTGTTAATTACGCTGACGTCTTTCTCCATCCCGGCAGGTATCCGCCATAATGTCGACTACGTTATGAAAAATGTATTATATTCTGTGAGATTAAACGTTCTGAAACCGCGATATAATTATGACAGACGCCGTAGTGGAGGGCTCCGGAAATTTCGACCACCTGGGGTTCTTTTACGTGCATAATTATGACAGACGCCGTAGTGGAGGGCTCCGGAAATTTCGACCACCTGGGGTTCTTTTACGTGCACCCAAATCTGAGCACACAGGCCTACAACATCTTCACCTCCATCGAAAATGCAGCCGCGCCACAGCCGGCATTCGATCCCACGACCTGCGGGTTAGCAGCCGAGTATACTTAGCCCCTAGACCACCGCGGCGAGGCTATACGGCGTCCAACTGCGTTAAACTCCGTCATGTGTATTTTAATGCGTCGTTTCACGTCTTCTAATGTTTTACTGTTGCCGTATTTTATTTCCTCGCGGTCACGTCGCCTCACGCGCACGCTCGCGTTCGGCTCACGAAAGTGTTCACACACGCGAAAATAGAACAACTGACAGCCCCGTGAGAATTTACGCGTTTTGTTGGCCAAGCCACTTGCAGGGTTTCGACTAAAGCTCCTTCATGCATTTTCCCACCGGCGACGTTCAGCTTCGATAGCGGTGCACTTGATGCGTCAAACGGAGCGTGCAGTCCGGTCTGCCGAGGCTTCACAACATGGCTGCCGGCTGCGAGGCCGTCTGTTTGGCGAACTTGCTGTTTTTGGTGTGTGTGCCTGTCATCTTCTGACTATGAATCTATTTGCTGTAACTTGTCTCATGTACGTTGTAGGATGTAATATTGGGAAGTGTATTTTGTGATGTATGTGATGTAGCATGTAAGTCGTAGAACATAGTATAGTGATGTATTCCTTTTGTATCGGCTATGCATTTCTTTTTTACGCATGACATGACGGTTGTTATGTCAGTTTTCTACCCCACCCCTGTAACGGCCCAATCGGCCAACAGTACCTGGAAATAATAAATACGCCGCATGCATGTAAGTATGCTTGCTACGGTGGCTCAGCGTCATAGCCGCCCTCATCTCTGACTATATACCGGCTACATCATAAGTCTATAGCGAGTTCCATTCCGCACGCTTCAAGGGGCTGAACCGAACGCACTGCCAGCGGTTCAGGAGCATGAATGTACTTCCCATTTTCCGTTCACGTTATAAATCAATATAAACGGGAACGTACATTTTATCTAGGCCTCCGCACAAGCAGTTGACCAAGGCGAGAATTCGGGGAAAATTGCCGACGAGCCGTTTTTTTTCTAACTCATACGTGTTGAGGAAATTATAACTGGAATAGGCTAAGCCGAAATGCAAATGGATCCAGGTAGTGGAAACATCGTGGTATGTTTTGAGCGCGTAAATAGACGAGGAAGGGAAAGACAGAAGTAGACAGACGAACGCTCACTTCTAACACATCGCCATATCATGTGGTGGGAAGGCAGAACGGTGCCATTGTTCCTGAATGTTGCGCGCGATTTCCCGCTCGAGCACCAAAAAGCCCTGTGGCAGAGACACATTCGCTGCAGGGCGAGGGTCCTGGAGTGGGCCACATAGGTTGCCGTATATCTCGGAGTGATGGCTAGCTATGTGGCCCACTCCACGACGACGACTACCGGAGGTCCACTGTACTCCTCGCGTACTGCCGTACCTGTCGTAGTCGAGCACGGTGTGTAGGCGGTGCGCGATGGCGATGAGCGTGCTTTTGGCGAAGGCTTCCCTGAGCGTGGTCTGGATCAGGTGGTCCGTGTCACCGTCCATCTGCGAGGTGGCTTCGTCCAGCAGCACGATCTTCGAGCCACGTAGCAAGGCGCGGGCGAGGCACACCAGCTGGCGTTGACCGACGCTATACGAGAGACAGCGAAGACGACTATTTACTGACTACCCTATTCTCCCCATTTGTGTAACTTCTTTTGTTTTAATCTATGTTATTTTTCTTTCTCTCATTAAGGGGGCCGGTAAGACAACAATTTCGTTTTTCAGGTAAAAAAATTAAAAATGAAGGAGAGAGACTATTGCATCTACACATAGCCGGGGTTTCACGTCCCAAAACAGTAATGTTGATACGAGAGAAGCCGTAGCGGGAAACTCCGAAATTTCGACAATCTGGTGTTCTTTAACCTGCACGGCCATCACACAGTACGTAGGCCTCAAGCATTTCACCTCAATCCACAGTGCTGCACACAATTCGCCAGCCATACCGAAGGGAGACGCACTGCCAAGTTGATGAGCGGTGAAGTTTTAAAATGAACAATTTATATAGGCAAATTTGGCGTACTGAAGATCTTGAACGTAATGTTGGGAAGCCGAAGTTACGCCACATATTGAGAACAAGAGGTTACGAGCGTCACACCTGAGATTGGCGCCTCCGTCTGCTGTCTCCATGTCCAGTCCCGCCGGGTGACCTTTGACCAGCGGGGACAAGTGAACTTGGCGCAGCACCTGCCACAGTTGCTCGTCAGAGTGCACCCTGGTCGGGTCGAGGTTCACGCGCAGAGTGCCTCGCACAAGGCTCGGGTCCTAAGCATTGTTAACAGATGAGTAACAGAGCATCAACCGCGAGTGTTATCAAAGTGAATTCGTTAACGGTATTGTTTTCATGGAACCGTGGTACAATATCATCGGTATGTCAATACCGGGACTGGGGCCACTGTACGGTCAGCTTACGGCTAATTGTTTGACGGGCTACGGCACCTCGTCCTCAGTCTGATGCTACACTGCAGAAGCGGTGCAGCTTAGTGCGTGACGTCACATGCATCAAGAGTTCGAACTACGGCGATTCGCTCACTGTTCTCTCTAAGTCACACTTCCTCTTCCGAACGACGTTCTATAATAACACAATACAAGCACTCATATCAAGGACAAAGGCGCCAACAATTAGCCAGTGCTCCAACACGTTGTAGTAGTACAGTGTCAGAAAAAAAAAAAGATTCCTTTGACTCTTCTTTGAGAGTTCTGGCTCGCCATGTATAGGACTTATTAAAGATACAGGTCAACCCTCTTTGTAGAGTCATTATACTCTGCCTTGACAGTCGTGTGACCCACACGAGAATTAACGTGCTTCTTAAAACAGGGTCACATACACAGCAAGTCAGGATTGATTGATTGATTGATTTATTGGTTCATTGATTGATTGATTGATTGATTGATTGATTGATTGATTGATTGATTGATTGATTGATTGATTGATTGATTGATTGATTGATTGGTTTAGCGTCCCAAAACCACCATATGATTATGAGAGACACCGTGGTGGAGGGTTCCGGAAGTTTTGACCACCTGGGGTTCTTTAACGTGCACCCAAATCTGAGCACACGGGCCTACAGCATTTCCGCCTTCATCGGAAATGCAGCCGCTTCAGGCGGGATTCGATCCCGCGATCAGCGGGTCAGCAGCCTAGTACCTAAGCCACTAGACCACCGCGGCGGGGCAGCAAGTCAGGATGCACCCAAATAATCCCACTATACCATTTTTTTTTTTCAGAGTGTAGGAGCAGTGAGATAATAGTAGGCAATACGCAGGTAATATTACTAGAGAGGGAAGTGATTAAAGAAGTATGATAGTATGACAAAGAAGTATGACAAATATGATAGTGACTCCGCTTGCGTTCCTGTGCTGCGGTGATAGCAATACGAATTTCGGGCGCATGGGCAGATATACTGGTCCACGGTCACACGTGAACGCTAGGGTAGCGTTTGAGCGCGGCCTAGAATGAGGATATCACTGCACGGGATCGACATGGCTGTACCTGAAAAACAAAGAAACAGCGTCAAACTGCCTAGATTTTTTTTCGGGGCTATACTATATACGTTGGATATTTGAAACGTTGAAGACGAAATAAGACGACACCTGAGGAATGATGGTGATGGCACGACGAAGTTTCTTGAGCGGCACTTGAGCAATGTCGACACCGTCGATCAGGATACAACCCTTTGAGGCTCTCAGGATGCGTAGAAGGGCGAGCACCAGAGATGACTTGCCGGCCCCCGTGCGTCCAACGACGCCAACCTGTTTGAGTGAGGTTAGCAAATCACGCTACAAATGAAATGGCTCTACATTCTCAACTAAACAGCTTCGTTCAGGATGAACATGCTCGAGAATCTGCAAAAAAAAGAAACAAACAACTCCAATTCCAGCACACGTATAGCGCTGATTCTGCGGTAAATGTAGCGCTAATGCAATTCTCGAGTAGGTCCTGGTACAGGTATAAACCTTCATTCTTAACTTGGCATGGTCCGCTGGGCGAGTCTGTAACTCATCTTAACGGTGGTGCACTGTGTTTGGTTTTCTTACTTTTGTACTATCGTTTATTTTGTTTTTGCGAACTATATACCGTTAAACTTAATTCTCAATTTAGCTCCCCCTACACAAAACGCGAGCAAATGCGTAGCACGGGCAAGCCAGCGATTGGCAATCACGCACTTGCCGAGGCGATGGTGCCCTCTATTGCTAGGGCATCAACCGTATATGTTTTAGAAGAGTATTTACTCAATTTTATCTATGGGTGTTGTGAATATTCATTGCTGATTTTTGTAGTATATAATATTTGATACCTTTTCACATAACTTTGCACTCGTTTTCAGCATTGTTAGCCCCGTTTCCGGGCCTGCAGTGACCACTGCATTGCCATGCGATCACAAGACAGTGCAGGCATGACAAGGTTGTCCCCTTCAGGTGCTACTCATTTAAACTTCATTCTCTGCAAAGATATTTGCATTCGTAAGCATTATTTTGAAATCCCTACATTTTACACACCACCTCTGACGTAAACACCAGTGTCATGGCCAGTGACCAAGAAGCGGTGTTTCTCCAACTCCCGGTTGTATTCTCTTGAGCCTGTTTTATCATTTAGTGTGCCCTCCGGACTCTCCCGTTGAGATGCGAATTTCCTGTGTCGCACATGGTTGGGTTTGGCATTAACTCTCACTTCGTAGGAATAGCCAACAGTGCGGCATGGAAATTTCGCAGCTACGGAAAACCATTGAACACGTTGTGCACTACTGCCGATCCTACAAGACGAAACAACGTGTCCCAGGAGCCATACTCTGTGGTCTTGATGCCAGACCGCTATCCGAAATGAATATCCCAGGAGCTTGGCCCCCGAAAGCCTTACCGAGCTACCGAAGGTGACAGGACTTTACGAGCGTCTGTGAACTACAAACGCAAGTTCTTCTCCTGGATGTTCTCACTAACTATTCCTTTCGTTTTTCTCTTTTCTTTCTTCTTTTGCTTTTTTTTCTTTATCTTGTCTATTATTACCCCTTTCCAACTCCCCAAGTGTATGGTAGCCAACCGAGCCAAGATTGGTTAACCTCCCTGCCTTCTTCGTTCGTTTACTTTTTCTCCCTCTCTTTCATCCATCTATTAGGAAACACCAGCAGCCAGTTACCAAAGCACTCACCTTCTCCATGGCCCGCACGGAGAAAGAGACCCCGTCGAGGACGTTATCTGCAACTCCCGGTCGGTACGAGGTCGAGTAATCTTGAAACTCGACGAGTCCGGCGGACGGCCACGTGTCCAAAGCCAGCGTCGTCTTTGTCGGCGCCTGTTTGTCTCCGCTGAGATCCGCATCAACCACTGGCTAAGGAAGCAGATACAATCGCATGGTATCCTCTCCATGCCGAGCTTGTTTTTTATTCGAATGCACACTGAGGAATGGAATAGAACAGTTACCTCAGGAGGAAGTTCTGTGTAATCAATACAGTGCTCGAACGAAACAACCATCTGTAGCAAGGAGAAGAGCTTCAAGCACAGGGTCATCAACAGCAACGGAACCTGCAATTATGTCCGGGGGGGGGGGGGGGGGGGTGGAAATGATTTTCAGGCCGTACTGGTCGAAAAGAATAGCACTTTTCTTAAACTTTAGTCAAGATACGTAGATGCAGATTTGCTTTATTCTTGCCTCCTGCTTTCGTTAATATGGCGTAAAAAAAACGCAAGTTAGTAATCGATTTAAAAAACACAACTTTTCCGTACACGTGCAAGAGCCTGCGTTTGCGGGGGTCTTTTGGGGGGGAAGTGGGGTGTACTAAACGGACACATTCTCGGTACAACTTGGTCTGAAACTAACGTTAGAAAACACTATGCAGAAGAAATATTGAAGTCCTTGGAGAGGGTGGCATTCAACTTCCCCTTTACCACATCTCTCATTTTTGAGTGTGAAGATACAGGCCCACAATACAAACACACCCATGGACATCGGGTACAGCTCTGGTTACGAGGCCGATACGGTGTTCAGTAATCTGTCCTCTTCAGCCAACAGCACAATGTTCATGTGAAAATTTACTGGGCAATAAGAAGACAGAATACGAAATGAATAATCAACGGCTTGAGTAATACCACGCGCATCGTCCAAGATAAAACTCACGTGCTCACCGATGTGGCCGAGCTCAGCACGAGTCCCAAGCTGCTGGGATCTGATGCAGTGGAGCCCACGGTACTGAGCAGGAGAGAGAAAACGACGACCGCGAATCCTCCCACGGCCATCAGCGAACGTGTGAAGCGGTAGCAGGCGCAGTAGGAGGAGAAACCCCGCAGGGAGACGTCGCTCAGCCGAAAGAAGTGCCGCCGGAATCGGTCCACGACGCCGTACGCCCTCACGCTGCTCAAAGACTCCAGCGTCTCGGTCATGTGCTGCAGCAGCTTCGACAAGCCAACGCTGTCCACGTAACGCGAGCTGTGAGAACGACTTACAGCTGCGACCTGCGAATCGTTCGAATGAGCAGGACAGCATGCCTTATTACCCGCACCTCTGTGCTTAGTGCGAGGTCGTAGATTCGAATCAAAGCAGCTCCATGATGGCACACCACGGTGTCTACTGAAAAGGTAAACACAAGGTGATTGAGCGTAACACGCTGCCCAGTTAGAGCAAAAGCTGCACAAGCGACCTCCTCTCGTGGAGTCCGTCGTTAACGCTATTCGAGCATATATAGTCCAACAGCACTTGCCCAGTAGCCACCTCACCATAAACCATTACAACTTGAACTACAAGGAAGTAGTCACAGTGGCATTATTTATTTACGATTCTTGTAAAAAAAGCAAGGTATACCCGTCACACGTCTCTGAAGCGTTATGAGCGCTTTGTTGATGTTGTAGTTGATGGATGAATGAAATAACTTTCTTTACGTTCAATGACGATGAAGAGTTATGGCCTAGCCCTTTGTAATGGGTTGGAAGCTTTAATCGACCCACTCTTTACGGAATTCGCACTGTGTGGTGCCCTGTAGTTATTTAAATCTTTTACCGCGCTTTCACACATCTGTTAGCGTGATTCCTTGCCCTTCATGACGCATGTATGACGCTTTTTGCGACAGAGCTTCAACGACCCGTGTAGCTGTGTGATGCGATACTCGACTGCTACGCGTGGGGCCTCGGCTGAAATGTCGCTCGTTCCCGGATATTTTTTTTTTTCCTCGTTGAGCGTGGTAGCGGTTACAAATACTAGACAAGTACGCAGCCCGAAATGGCTGTTGTGATTTCATAATAGATTTTTTGCTGTGAAAAACAAAATGTCGTTGAAGGAAGAGTACGACAGGCCTTCTGAGAAGGAGGCAGAGTTTCAGGACCTTCCAAGGGTAGCGAAAGTGGACTACGTTGCTGTTAAAACAGATTAAAAAGTTAACTGTTGGTGATATTATTCCAGGCTAGCAGTGCGCGATCTATTCGTTAGATAAACTTAAACGCCATCAAGTTCTCTGCTGTCAAGCTTCTTTACAAGCAACGCACGGAATAGGCGATAGAAACGCATCGTCTTCGTAAACTGCCGACTCAACAGCAAGTCACGCGTATTACCCCCTCCTAGCTACCTTGTCATCTTAGCTCAGTCTTCAAACAAGGTATGTCACCCACAAATCCAGAAGCGACGAGAACAGCGACGACCGCGGTGACGGCCACCACGAGGGGCGCTTGCGTAGCAACCACGGCCACGCTGGCCACGGTGAGAAGCGAACCCTGGATGCACTGATGGCCGCTGGCGAACGACTCTTCGTCCACGAAGTCCAGGTCTGCGGCGAACCGGTTGAGCACCCTTCCTCGGGGCGACGCGTCGAAGAAGGAGACCGGACTGCGAAGTACGCCGTCCAGCATGGCGCGGTGCAGTGAGTCGGACATCAGGCGTGCTGTGGCCGCCAGCAGCAGGCCGCCTAGCAGCCGACACAACACTGTGAAGAAACATTTGAGTGAGGGTTCCAGCAGGAATCGAACCCGGGCTCTCTGCGTGGCAATCACGTATTCGACCACGGAGCCGCGTTTTAACTCGGAACTACTTTTCACGTAGACCCTATTGTTCATGAAACGTCACTTATGACTGCAGTGCTAGCTGTTCAATTACATTACATATGTACTCATATGATACAGCCGCCACGTGAGTGTGGTTAACGTTAATTTCTGGCGAGTGCTGTCCGCTGAGGTTATTTTATGTAGCAGTGTGCAGGGCTACCATCCTTGCGAGCATCAGCGCTTCATATCAGCTTACCACGTCTGGTGTTGCTAATACTCATGTTCCTGTTAGCATCATTGCGCAAGTGCGAACAACTGGTTATACTATAAAGACCTGCTATTGTGCAACCTACTTCTGTAAATGCAAAATTTGTACATTTATTAGCGTCATCTTGTAAGGTGTCACTCAATAAAAAAATTACAACGCGGTCACCTTCGATCCGCATAACGTCAATTTCCCAAGGTACGTGGGATCTGCTGAATTTTTTTTTCCTTTACTTTCTTTAAACAACCGCGCTTGTAGCGAATCCAGCGCGTTTTTTTTTTTTTTTTCAGCACTGTGACGTTCGACACGTCTTTTGTCAGACCAGCTTTGCAGTTTCCAGTCACTTCCACGTTCAGTGAAAGACCGTGCTAAAGAAAAAATAAACTCAATAGTAATCACTATTCTGATACAATGCCGCGATTACATCAAACGTTACGTTTATCAAATCACAAGGCAGCGTCATCCATCGCCATTTCCGCTCGCAATAGTTCTGGCGAGTGCCACCACGTGTTGATGTGGTCACCATCGACATTTTTCAGCATTGGAGGGCCCCTATCAAAGACTCGAGGGGGGGGGGGGGGAGAGTGACTCGAGCATAAACATTGAACCTATTCTAAGGGCACGGTCATGATGGCTGGCCGTTAGCACTTCCTAAGAATTCATCAGCGGGTGGCTTGTATATACCCTTCTACAATGTTTCTACGTGATGCACTCTCAACGCAGCCTGGAACAGCCGTATTCTTTTAAAACATAGTTTTGTAGAATTGCGTGAGATCGGATTGCAAAGAGCGAGCCTCACTCCATGTGACACGTCACACCAGAATTTGCGACGTCGTGACATTACATACGGTAACGTCGCTATACGTGATGACTTTTCGTCAAAACTCGTCCCGACGCCTCGGGAAAGTCACCACCGCGACGATCAAATTTCCCGTTCGATGAGACATACACTAATGGCTTTCGATTAATCATGCAATGCCCACCGTTGGCGACGCAGATGCCGACTAGTACTCCGATCCAGTAGCGTCGGCTTCCAGTCACTGCGTCAGAATCGACAGTCGACGCATCCGTCCATGACTTGATCCAGATCTGCTGCATAGCCTGGGCCGCAGCTGCAGTGACTAGAAGTGCGACTCCCATCGGTGCTTGCCATGGAGTGAAGCGGATGAGGCCCTCCAAAAGCAGCCAGGAGGTCTGCGAGAAGGGCGGATGATTGACCGACTTACTGAACACTACCGACTGAGTGCCCCTTTGAAATTTTCCATATGGCAGACCGATAAACCGAGCTGTTAAAGGGCCGTGAAAGACTTTTAAAGCACTGTCGACTAAGGGCTGCCGATCGGTGGTCGGGGCACCTGAGCACAAGTTCGAGAATTATTATAGCGCAGCAGGCAGTCTGACTTTTACAATTTACAATATTCAAATTTAGCGAAAATTTGCTCACTCTTCTATGGAGAAATGATCACCTAATCCGAAAGGACACGTCATAAACACAAAGTTAAGGTTCATGGGCTGATCTGAGCATTCTGCGCTGCATGCTATACTGCGGGCACCGTGGGTTGCCGCGACGTGCTAACACTGCACTGTGGTGTACTACAGTTACACATATTATAGAGATGCACAAGAACGCTGATTATCACACTGAAAGTGAGCCATGCATAAAAAAAAAGAAAGAAAGTGTTCACGGTCATCAAACGCGCTAACTCCTTCAGGCCCCCCCCCCCTTTTTTTCTTTTTTTTTGCGGCGGTCGATTCGTAATGCAATAAGCTCATTTAAAGAAGACATTCGAAGGTTTTTCGTATAAGTCTGCTGGGCCACTTTTCATTGAAGTCATTGGATGACTACCTAAAGAGCTGATGTAAGTTTTATATACTTCCAAAAGAACCCCATGGAAACGCACGAAACGATTGTAAAAGTAATAAACGATAAAAAGACCCTCTTGTTGCTCTGTGACATTGTCTATTGAAGCGATTCGCATTCCCTCTACGTAACACGAAGGCCGAACCTTAGCATCGGAACCTATTTTCTGTTATATTTGCACCCCTCTTTCAGAACTAGCCTAAAATTCATTTGCCATGCTGAAATGTGTTTTGCTGGCGGGGCTACAGAATATACTATAAAATAGTGTGAAGAAAAATCAACTGAGTTGACTCATTTAACTAAAACATCTAATCGACCGAGTGAACTTAAAACGTGCCGAAATAATACTGTAACAAAAAATGTTCTCAGGCTTCAACCCATTTTGACATTATGAGGTTGATAAACAGGTATCGTAATACAGTGACGCAGTTATGGGGCCTGCGAGTCTTAATTCGAGAACTCAATGCACAAATTACATTCGTGTACTTCGGTCTATGTTGAATTAACCCGCATAGTAAAATATTTTTAGACATAGCACGTCTATCACAGTTACGTTCCACCTAACCATCTGCGCTGCCTTCAGAGAGCCACAATTAACGAAACGACTATGACGAACAATCGTATAAGAATGCTGCTCAGAAAATTAAAGCGAACGATTCGCTTCCCTAACGTCGATTTGCAGAGACTATCTAGATCAGTAATCTGGAGTCATCTCGCGGTTTCAAGAAGACTTTCTTACCGTTTTTGACCATGCCAACTCGTCTTCCGTAATTCTGCCGTCTACATCGTTTTCTTCACCCTGTAGGAAGTCCGCACTTGCGGAATGACGGCAAGTACGTTAGTTTCCCGTATACTTATGGAAAACTGAAATATTCTTAAGCGCTCGAAATTCTTTCGTAATGAAGCTTTCGCAGTTCATCCAATACGAATCCACCGAAGGGTGGTGTTTCATTCAATCCAGATTCGTGCTACAAGGTTTTTCACGGATCAACTTGAGGGAGAAAACTTCAGTCGCGTCATGCAAAGCGAAAATTCACCGTGAGCACCAGCGCGCGTGTCAAAAAAAAAAACGCACCATCATGTGATTACGAAACATATGACGCCATTAAGGCGTGTCGGGTCGCCAAACTCTGTGACGTCATTGTGACGCCGCTATGCCGATGACACAAGGTCAAAACATTCATTGACAAGAAAAAGAAGATGGGTTTTCCCTCCCAGTCGTTTTAGGTGAACACAGATGGGACCCTGCAAATTTATTTATTTATCTTAGGTACCACCGTTATGAGTCTTATCTGTGCTAAGATACCTACCAACACGAAAGAAGCAATCATAAAGGTAGTGAACTAATATTTCATTTATATTCTTGATGTTTTTCGCATTTAGACCATTACATAAATCTTTTGCACATCCATGACAAATAGTTGTAACATACTGCTAATATACGCATGACACCAGGTAATAAACTTACCTCTCTGTAGTGCCAGGTAACTGCTGCCTTTGTTTTATCGATATATGGAAGTTCTTTGGCGACGCTGAATCTCTCAGTAACTCTTCCAGAGACGCGTACACCCTGGCTTTGTTGTCATGAACGAACACAATCTTGTCCATGTGGCGCATGTACGTTACTTGATTGCAGACCATAATGCGTGTCTGAAACACAGGTGCACAGGGGGATACGGCTAATATTAACAACACGAAAGGTCTAACCAGCACGGATAAAGTTAACGAATCTAGAGGGCATACAGTGTGTCCATAAGCTTTCAGTACAAGACTGCAATTTTTATGGCACACATTTGGGTATCATATGTCATAATTTGCCAAAATAGAGGCTGCGTTCCCAAAACCGAGGTAGTGCGCTGACTCCCAGCTGTGGCACATTAACTTCTGTCGTGACTAAAGGCAAAACTACCTTTATATAGTACATAGGCGCATGCGTAAAGGACAGGAAGATCCAAAATTAACAAAGTTTTTTTGGAAATGACCACCCTCCTCATAATTATATCGTGGCTTGAGCGTTTGAAACGACCAGTAAATTTATGTAAACATTTTTGCTGAATCGCAACCTTGTTTTTAGCGTCAAGTGGCGTGCATGATGTTCAGTAGAATGCCCGAAACAGCTAATAAAACACAAAAATATACCATTAACATCAGCGTGAGTTATGCTGCAAATCATCACGTGATGACGTCCACATATGACGTCACCATTACGCGACAGATTGCTGCAATGTGACTACTACGACACTGTGACGTCACATGGAAAGTCCTTCATACATCATTGCAACGTCGCTCCTACTTCGCTGATAAACGCCAAGCTGCGTCGCAGTGCGCATCATCTACCAAGTTGAGTCACAGTACACGTCATATACAGCGAACAACGATTCAGCGACTGTCCAATTGCCTGAAGAAGACAAAGCAATCCTCATGGTTCTTCAGTCACTCCTACAGACACTCTTCGCATGTTCGTCGGCAAGCTCAAATCACAACACGCTCAGTGCATGCAACAAGTGCTAAATGATCTGTGTCCAGTACTCGCAAGTCTTCAGTAGGTACCATTATCCGTCTACCTAAAGTGCAACGTGATGCGCCAGAGATCGTAAGTTCACTACCATAGAACTCAGCGTTTTTTTTTTTTTTTGTGCTCCATTCTCTCTATCTCTCATTCTTTTAATCCCTTTCCTAATATCAAAATAGCAAACCAGACGCACATCTGAGATTACCTTCCTGCCTTTCCTTCCTTTTCCTCTTCCTTCCTGCCATCATCGCAAGGTTAAAGTGCGCACCACTGAGGCAATACAAAACTAAACGCGGCACGGAAAGCTTGCAATGCCTCCGATCCAGGAGGCCGTGCAAAGCTAAGTTAGGTGAAGAACACTCTTCGAGGAAGCGGGCGGGGGATGATCAGTACATCTGGTTGAAAAGAGAAGCTGGTTTTCACCTCCAAGTCGTCTTCGACGAATGCATTGGGTACCCTTTCAGTCTCCTTACCTCGATGCTGTGTCTTTTGCTGGCTTAGTGCGTACTGAAGCAATTAAACACTCGACAGTGTCATTCAATTACGAGTGAGTACTTCTTAGAGCCATCAACGAACCTTGTCTCTAAGAATTCCGGACTGTCCAATCACATCGCGAAACACGCCGTTCGCCACCATGGGGTCCAGCGAACAAAGCGGTTCGTCCAAGAGGTAGATGTCGCTGGCGCTGTACGCTGCTCGAGCCAGTGAGATTCGCTGCTTCTGTCCGCCGCTCAGATTGGTTCCCTGTAGAACCGCCGGGAAACCACGGGAAAATATATCAGGAGAATCCGACAAATTTGACTGAAACTATCACAATCTTTCCGGTTCATGCGGAACGCCTCCAAAAGTTCATACGGCGTTCTCACTTCTGCCAACTTTCTTGCATCGCCGAATTTCGGCTTACAATAGCGGGTACTGTAAAGCACCGAAAGCACGGCTCACATGAGCGGGTACTGTAAAGCACCGAAAGCACGCTGTGAAACCTTGATGAAACGGTGCATTGCAAAACTTGCTATTGCGTGCAAGATTCCACGATGTGAGGTTCCTTCGCAGACGTAAAAATGAAACGTGTGAACTTCTGGAGGCATTTCCCATGAAAGAAAAAAGAAATTGGTGATTGTGTTAGTGAAATGTCCGTTCCACTGCATAACATGGTACACGGCGTCTTTCAACCTTCGCTTTGATACGCCCCCTTTGACCTGTGCAACACTGATTATGTTCCAATGCATTGAGAATAGTTGGCATACATGTGCCGCACTGTCCTAGTCACTATTAAACTCAGCACCTGTCCTATCACCATGCGTTTCTTTAGTGATTGTGCTCAAGCACTACAAAATTGTCTGTTCGCAGTTAGTTGCTGTTCGAGTGAAGTACGCCATCTAGCCTTCCTCCTTTCACGCTCCTTCGCCCGACAGAAATAACGGGCGAAGCAGCGGTTTTCTCTGCTTCGGCAGCCATCGACGGATGGGAAGCCAGCGCTGCCCAAGTTACAGTGGCTATACCCAGGTGGCGCAGCACCCTTCCTCCATGCGTGCCTAAAATTTACACGGTGCGCCACCCTGGCTATATATATATGACAGAGCCACCGTGAGTTGTACTACGGGCAAGTTCTAACGTTCCCTTGTAGACGTCGCGCGCGCTGAAACCGCATGGTGAACGCCGTGCGGCACTAGCCCCGGTTTTTCCCGATGTGCGCCGTGTTGTAGGTACTTTGGAAGGCGCAAGACCAGCGAAGAATGGGACACTTCACTGAAAAACTGTAACACGGTGGGCGAGCAGCGATTATTCTCAGCTATGTTTTCTGTGATGTGGTGTGCGCTTTCGCGAGACTGTGTTGTCGAAAGGACGGACGCTGTCCGATGTTAAACATCTATGACGCGGAAGGACAGCATGGCCTTTCGACGTAGTGCCAAGCATTTTACGGCGTGAAGTTACAGGTGTGTTCAAATAGCGCTCGCAAAGCTCGACGTAGTTGTGCCGGTTGCGCGTTATGCGTCAGCTTTGAAGAAAAATTTGTAGTTCTAATACCGGTACAGCGTTTGAATACTGGTATACAGAGCGTTTATGTTATTATTTACCTTCATTGTTAAACCATTTTCATTTATTCGATTTTGATTTGTTTTGCTGTTCCTCAGCTGCACTTAAATCTGTGTTTGTATAAGGAAACTAATTTTATTGATCCTGCCGTTGTATTCTTGTACGTTTTTTTTGCAGGCTGTTGTATATTGTTTTTTTTTTTTTTTGCTCTAATCATATGTTTTCAGGTTGTCATTTGTGAACTGTTTTCCTTTGCTGTTGCGCACATGCCATAGATTACTTTGGGCTACAGACAAGCCAAGCCGCATCTCGACAGCTTTTTTTTTCCGTTGCCATCAATCTGTAAGCTTCTACATGGTGGAAATAAAAATTTGATTTGACTTGTTTCTCAGACAGCACTGAGGAGTAGCATTCGGCCCAGTGACAGCTGCTTTAAGAGAGAACATGGCATTTATGTAGTTGGTAGCCGCAGCTCTTCCACTATATATTACAGAAGCTGTTTCGCTACGTGCTTTCCTTTGTGTCGAGTTCAATGGCTGGCGTGAACCCACAAAACGCTCGTATCGCAGTCTTTAAATTATGTTTTTGAAGCTGACGGTGAATTTCGAAATGAACATCCAAGCCAACGTTCACATGAAAGGCCCGTGTAAAGCGGAGATTCGCGGTGTTAGCGGAAATGCTAACATGTGGCAGCTGTTGTCTCGGTGTCGTCGGCAGACTATTCGCAAGCCTGACACTTAAAATAAAAGAATGCCTTTGAACAACCTGGTGGTAATTGACTTTGTGGTGGTTTCGTGGTTGACATTCAGTGTGTGATGAGTAATGGAACGTGCGTAGATCATGCTGCTTTTTTTCATAGCATGCAGTCATCGTCTTGTAACAGGTCTGGTGCTGTGCTCGTAACAGTCAGATATAATACGATATCTGCTCGAATGCGGCATGAGACTTTTTTTTTGTGAGTTTTGCTACTAAAGTTGATCCTCGCGTACCAAATACCGAATTATATTTTTTGTCTCTTTCTATATGTAATGAAATGTCGCGCCTCGCGTTACAACTGTGGTGGTGTTACAATCGAATAAATACGATGTGTGTAATTTGTGGCGCGAAGTTTACGCAACACAAGTTTTCATGTGCTGTCTTGAACGTTTTCAAGGCAAGTTTTATTGAAAAGACTTGTGATAAATTTCATATCACCAACCCCTGTGCATTCATTGGTGAAAATCGACGCCGGAGGGAGTCAATGGCTCTCGAATATTTTTCCTGTTATTAAAAAAGTTTTTGTGGTTGTGGCATTCGTGAATACGACAATAACGCCAGTCTCGAAGCTTCTTTTTTCTCCTCCGATCATCGCGCACGGCGGCATGGTCCACGTTAGTATTTTTTGGTACGCCCGAATCGAATGTTTCCTGTCGCGCTCGACAAGGCGGCGCTCCATGTCCGCGGAAACTAAAGCCAAGCTCGAGGGGCTTTAGCGGAAACTAGAGTTACTGCATATATACTGCCTTTAGGTATATAGCATATGAAGTAACTCTAGCGGAAACTACAGCGTTGATTCCCCATATAGGCTTCGCACGCGGTACGAAGTTTAGTGGAAGTGGCCGGCTCTTTTCATGCGTGCTGCAGCAGTCTTTGTTCACAACTCTCGCACACTTCTACGCGCGCGCCGGGCAATCTTATAGATTTGGAATTAATACGGAAACGGAAATGTCCACATAATTTATATCGCAATAAAGATAAGTTGAGCTTGTACTTTCCACTTATAACACACGAGTCACTCTACCGCTAGAGAAACGAGATTATAAATCCCCGAAATTTCTTTACGTGAAACAAACCGTGTACTTTTACTGCGTTAATTTTTTTTTCTGAAGGCCGAAAAACCCACTATGAAACAAATTACAAAATCAGTCAGCTAAGATGGGAAACCAGCCCCCTTCCACACCTTCTCGCCAACCTCGGCCGCATCTCCGGCAGGAATCTTGTTGAGGTCGTTCATGAGCTGGCAACAGTGGAGCACGCGCTCGTAGTAGGCAGGATGCATGGGCCGGCCGTACAGGATGTTGTCGCGTATGGACATGTTGTGCACGCTCGGCAGCTGCGGCACGTACGCTATGCGGCCCTGTGAGGCAATGCACGCAACAATAATAATAATAATAATAATAATAATAATAATAATAATAATGGAGTTTAACTTCCAAATACTTTCATGATTATGAGGTATAGTATAGCAGAGGGCTTCGTAAATTTCCACCTGGGTTTCTTTATCGTTCGCCTAAATACACAGGCAGCAAGCATTCTGGCCTGCATCAAAAATGCGGCCTCCGCGGCTGGGATTCAATCCCGCGACCTTCAGGTAAGCCGTCAATCATGCACCATAACGGCATAACCACTAGACCCTGTGATGAGTCACAGAAAACGGTAGAAAGGTGAAGATGGAATATTCCGATGAAAAATCCGTGAACAGGGGTTGTGTCGGGCCGACGTTTCGACAAGCGTACTTGTCTTGTTCAAGGCTAGAAAAAAAAAACCCTGTTTACACATTTTTCATCGTGGAGGGTCACATCCTACGATACTAGTGCTCATGCAAGCTTACGTGCGGATTGTAAATTTACCGAAATCGCCCGCATCAATACATCGAAACCCAACGGATCAGTATATCTAACTAAGAAAGGAAGACGTTGATATCGCGGCTTGAACAATCTTCGCAACGAGACGAAGGCAAGGCACGAGATCATCATCATCTTGGTTCACCTCAGAACCATCATCTTGGTCCACCTGTATTTTTGAGCTACCGCCTGCTTGTTTGGCTCGTTCAGACACCGCTTTTTACACATTGAACGACAACAACAAAGACGAGGAGATGACGTTCGCCTTCTGTTGGTCTTAGGCGTATGCATCTGGGACCCTGTGAGCGTCCGCAGTCGCGGTCACATTCAGAACACCCGGTTAGCGATTGTCGCGGTAGAAAATATCACAAAGCCAAGTGAGTTGCACTGACCGCTGATGTCACACTGCCCTCGAGGCACCGCATATCTCCAAGAATGGCTGACAGCAGTGACGATTTCCCGCTGCCAACGAAACCAACGACTCCCACGAGTGATCCGGGTTCAACGTCGAGCGTGACACTTTTGAGTTGAGGCTCCTCGCCTTTTCTGGCAGGACTGCTCCACGCTAATGTGCAGTTTTTAAGGCTGACGGATCCTAGAAGATGAAGTCATTTGTTAAGTGGGAGAGACAATGGGGCGAGTTGGTATGGTTTCATATTCATGACATGGCTCTACGAGAAAAGACAGAAGCGGCGTGGCATGGCCTCCCGATTCCATCATTGGGGCAGCCAGTGGCAAGCCGGGGGCTCCAGCAGGTCCTCCCCGGGTAGTCTTTCAAGACTTCTATAAAGCTCAGCGCGCTGTGCCTCTTCCTCTATCTCATCCTGTCGGTTATGTCAATTTGCACACTAAATCATGTTGTACCTACATGCCTGTTAGAAATGCACGTGCCTTTTTGTAGATAGTGAAGGAAGAGGACGACGTTCGGAGAGACTCTGGTGCAGTTTGGCTTGTGTGGCGTTTAGTAGCCTGTATGACAGTTGAGTATGGCCTATGTGGCATGTGTTTTATCATGTGAGAGTAAATTATTCTTTTATTACAAGGTCGAAGACAACAGTTCATAAATGGGATGGCCATCCAGTCGTCACGGAGAGAAAATGTGAGTTCTGTCAGTCTACATAGCTGGTTAACATAACCCCAACCCTGAGATGCAACGCACTGACGGAAGAGACAGCTCAGCTTGCGGTGGAGGCTAGAGGTATGGGCTTTTGCATGTAGACCTCATTACGGCTCGCTGCTTACTCAAAGCTATCCAGAAAAAGGACCCTCTACTATCGAGCCTTCTGGAACGACTGATTTCGGCCAGCGCAGCACAGCCTTAACCAGCGCCGATGTTCCAGGTTATCACTGACTTTAGCCGCAACATCAGCCCCTTTTACGGCTTCGAAGATGCTCCTTCAGCGTGCAAGTGGAGTGAAAACGTTCGTCGAACGCCGAAACTTCATGCGTGGTCAGCTGCCTACACTCCGGAAACTGCCAAGGCCCGACTGGTTGGAGCTGCCAATGACTGGCACCATTCGAGGAGCTCCCAAATCACATCGTGGAAGGGTATCGAAGTACGTGTTCGTTGTACCTTTGTCCACCATGGCTCCGGATTTTACGTGACAGGCCATCATCTAATCTATACCGGAAGCGCCGCGGCGGAAGCAGGAGGCTCCCAGTGTCTACAGGAACCAGAAGTTGAGCCAGTTGCGGCCCGCAAAAGACGCGTAGACTCACTTTTCAAACAAGCCCTGTCGCACGCCGAGAACTCCGGAGGCTGTAAAACACTGACAACGAAGGAGGGCGAAGATCCAAAGCCCAAGATGTCTGCCGGAGCAATAGAAAAGCCACAGGACAAGGGCGAAGCCACTCGCTCGCTGGATTCCCTGCCGACCGACTGTGCCCTCGCGATCTCCGACGTCAGCGCAGCTCTGGCCGACTGGACTGGCCCTACGTCATCTCCTGACGCCGATCTCTGACGACAGCGTAGCTCTAACCCACTGGACTTGCCCTACGCCACCTCCTGACGCCGACAAGAGCTCTCGCAAGTGGTGCCCCGTCCTCGGACTCCTGTGACCATGTTTCCATCTTTCCTATCTCTCCTATCTCCTCGATAGTCCTCGCTCGCTGGCTTAGCGCATCTCTCTTTCTCTCTCTCTCTACACCGTTATTCCTATCCTTTTAATCCCTCCTCACCCCCCATCTCTTGTGAGCTACTGTTGAGGTGTCGCTCCCTGAAGCAGACAGTTACGGGGCTCACTTTTCTTTCCTTTCTCTCTTAGAACCACTTTGTGTGTGTGTGTGTGTGTGTGCGAAGCCAAAGCTGAAGGCGAAGGAAAACCAAAAGACAAGGACGAAGCCGAAAATCGTGACAAAAAAAAAAGCAGACGAACTCCCAACACGGTTCTGCGAGAAAAGACAGCGTGGCGCAAAGAGTGAAGGAAACCGCAAAAACACCGAAAACGAAGGAACTGAGAAGAACCAGTGCCCAAGACCCAAGCGCGTCGGCATTTATGCAGGTACCGTCAACTATTCTAGCGTTATCGCTAGCAGCCACGTAGGTTCGAGAATAATCTCTTATGTTCGCGAAGTAGGCGTAATGTGACAAAAAACGATCTAGTACAGCCTCGAAGCTTCTCGAACACCATAGGCGCAGTTTGCGCTGAACATAGTGTAACGGGGCGATAACAAAACTTGAGAAAAGAAACGCGGCAATACAAATATAAATATCTTTCCTGCACCAATAGCTCAGATAGTCAAAGTTTTCGGCATGGCCAAACTACTAAATATCTAACTATATGTAGTCACTCCAGCGTCATCAATTTTCAACTTTTTCAAGGCTGAGCGTCTGTCGATGAAGCGTCGACATTGTTGTATGAGAGGAGCGGCATATGACATTTTCGTGACAGCAAAACTGTTTAGCCGTTTCCACGCGGAGAGTTAGACTCTACAATGAAAGTCCACAAAAAAAAACTAATAAAGAAGCAGCTGGATTGAAACGTGTATCGAGGGAACTGGCATACCAGTCTTTGTGAAATAATCCTGCGCTCGTGACATCTTCTCTTCGTCATACTCTTCGGCCGTGCAAAATGAAGATATCCGCTTTAGTGATAGCGAACCCTGAAACGCAGAAGTGATCAACTTTTCAACAAACAAGTTCACGGCGCCCAGTATCTTCGTTTTGGAGCGGCAAAAATTAGTTTACTCAGAAGAAGTTCAGAAAAATTCGGTTAAAGGAACCAACAGCAAATTTTATAAAACCGCATTTGTTCAGTGCTATGGAGAGCTTACCGGTCTTAGTATCTCATGAAGAAATGATAAAGTGGAAGACATCATTAAACATTATACCAGTATTTTTCTATCTGCGGAACTACACATGCTGCAAATAGTGGGCGGTAATTAAGGCAGCGGGTCACGCGCTGCGGTTCACTCCACATGCGTGCAAGCTATGCGCATGCGCACTGGCTCGACAAGTTCCTCTAGTTGACGTGAAGGCAGCGCCGCTTCTCTGATTAAACTCCCTACATCTCGTAAACAGAATGGAGTAGAGCGGTGTTGAATAATAATAATAATATATAGTCAAGTTTAAACCCTCAGTCTGGTGCACATATAAAGCTTCAGACTACATACGACTTCAATAAGTTTCAAGGGTCTACGACAAGGCTGCGTAACGTACTGGTTTCTTACGACATTCAAATATGATTTGAGATTAGGAATTCAACCCAAATCCCGAAAAAGATACTTTACTCTGCCACTATGAGCAGGTAAATAAGTAGAACTCGGAACAAGTAAGTGGGCTAACCAACAATACATGGCGACACCCCGACTAAACTTTGGAAAAGAACGCCTTCAGTATACTCTTTCGTCTTCTCTAAATAGTTAGGAGCGTAACTATTTAGCAGAGACGGAAGAGTATAACGCTCTTGCTGATTTCAATTTGTTCAACTGTACTCGTATAGAAGTCCACTCTAAGTATTTAAATAACATAATTTCATTTTAAGTTTGCATTTATGTATGTAGTGTTAATTCGTGCATTATCCAGTGATTCTTGTAAAAGAGTTATTTTTATGTTTTGAATTGTGTAATTTATACAACTGCATCGAAGCTGTACTTTTGTTGGCTCGTCAAGCTGACTCTAAGCAGCAACAGCCCCATCCATCCGTGCTTGTAAGATGGAAAATAAAATTGAATTAAAATAAATCACCGACCTTTCACTTCCACGGGGATCCAATCACACGTTCTGGCAAGTAGTACGTTTCCTCTAATACCAATACATAATAACTGTAAGGCATTCGGCGTACAATAAAGTGTAGACATTAAACGCACAAGTCCACAAAAAATACCAGAGTGAAGCTTGAGCTCCGATCAAAGTTTCCCTCACAGCCAATTCACACGATGCACACACACAAAAAAACCTTACCTTAGCAAAGCAATGCCCAACTTTCCTTAGATTCCCCGGAGACAGATAAGGAGAGCGAATAGAAACGTACCTTGCTTATAGTCCGGAAGACCATAGAAAGGCTGGAGCTCGTCAAGTCGGCGATGTACAACAAGGACACACACGAGAAAGAAAGCTCCGGGCTCAGAACGCGGTCGGGCTCCAACATCGACATGGTTGAAAACAGGATGATCATCATCTGCAAAGAACGACTAGAGGTTTTCATTGAACGACCGTTTGACCAACGCAATGATCGGCTGATATATGGGACACGTATGTATTCAAAGATACGAAGCAGGCCTGAAAGTACGTGGTAAGAAGCAGACTTATCGATAGTCGTTAGTCTATCGAATAATAACAACAAAATGTACGCAACATTCCCGGAGAACGGCTTCCAGAACCTGTATAGATGAAATTCGGGGCTACAATTAATGTGAACTTACGCCTACGGATGAACCTGTCACTAGAGTAAAAAGATGACGAACGAGAAGTGATTGATCGACGGTTATTTCCATTGTTGGACACAACCTCGCGAAACCACGAGATAATGGAGCTAAAGCAAGGCATTGGAGACATTGCGTGTACCCTTTTCTTTACCGTAGTACAGTAACACCATAAGTGCAAAGCAGTTAAAGTGGAGCGTTGTTATCTCGTTTTGAAGATACACGGTGTCACGTCCCACAGACGTCCTCCAGATGAATACAGCTCGATGCTGTCTTCTAAGCTGCCGACGTGGGCTGTCTACGATGCTGTCCAGAACGGGAACACAGCCCTCTTTGTTTACGTTTCCTAAAGTAACGACGTAGTTAAAGAAATGCTGTCAGTTTGGCCAGTCCCACCCTCAAAGCTGAAAGCTCCCAAGTTGATCGATCGATAGTAGATGCTCTGAAATTCAGTGCCACAAATCGTTAGGCTGTCCAGTGACGTACCACGGTGCTGCATGAGCTGCAAACAGAGTCCAGGACAGCGGCGAGGAAGTTGACTCTGAGCAGAGACTTGAGCTCCAGCTTCCGCGACTTGAGCACGTTCTGCTGAAGGGCGTCTTCCCAGGCGTACATCTTCACGACGCGGATGTTGCACAGGAGATCCGTCATGAATTTCAACCTCTCGTCGCGGGCTTCGATATGCCCATCCTGCGAATAAAAAAAGTAATGGACGCTCTATTCCCGAGACGAGTGCATTTGTTCCAGCCAAGTGGTGCGGGAGCTTCAAACGAAAAAAAGAACAGAAGGAAAGATGGGTAGATTAACCATACCATATTTCTGGCTTGCTGCTCTTCACCAACAGATGGGGGGAGTCCTAGATGAAGCGCTTAAGTTTTTATCTTAGCGCGTTTGGAGAAAGAGCAAACATTTCAAATAACTTGCGGTGGCGTAGTTTACATGTTGCGAGGTTGCATGCCACCGAAGTAATGGCAGGGTAGGCGCTAAGATTGCTTCACTAGCGGAGGGAGGGGGGCGAAAATTCTAAGTCAGCTCCAGCCCCCCCCCCGACAACCCCCCCTAGCACCACCCTCTTGAGGCGGCTACGGGTGACAGAGAAAACGAGGAGAATGCGCAGGAAGTGCTATCAATAATATGACATAGAAAACTTTACAGTACGCCCACAATGACAGCAATGGCAGCTCACCCAGAAGTACCTTTGGGCGTACAGAAAAACCAAGGGAGCCAAAATCGTGATGACTGCCCAGGTGGCGCAGCAGACAGCAGGCGCTACACCCACCATCTTCGACAACATCCAAAAGAGAAGAGGCAATGTCAGGGTACCAAATAACGGCAGCGGCAAAGCGTAGAAGCCGTAACAAAGCTGGAGGCAGTCCACGCCTAGAAGAGATGCCACGTACCCAACGGGCTGGGCCGACGCAGGAGACTGCAGCGTTGCCTGCACGTCACAGATGCGACAAATTAACGACAAAACGCTTCCCACAAATTGAAAACTGTAGTTAGCTCATACCTATTTCACGGCGACAGCTAACAAAAATTTCAAAGGTGCGCTGCATCTCGGAGCTGATTGCGTAGTTCCTTCACTGACAGACTAAGCCACTGAACAACTGATGCACTGGTTCACTGTCTCATGAAGTGGCCTACATAGCTATCACTTTATGCTGACACCCCATAAGGTGCAAATATAGTTCATTGAAACATCTCTATTAGAACAAGAGTGGCGAACTACCCCATACGAACTTGGTAAACACTGACAATTATAAAAGACAGCTCGGGGAAGTGATCTTAAGTGAAAAAAAAAGTGAGCCCTGTAAGTGTCTCTCAGGGGGATGACACCTCAACAGTAGCTCATGAGGAATGGGAGAAAAGATTGGATTAAAAGAATAGTATTAAAATGTAAAGAGATAGAGAGAGAGGAAGGAGAGAGCGAGGTGCAGGAACAGCGAACGACGGAAGTTAGGAGAAGATAGGAAAGATGGAGACGGTCGCAGGAGTCCGAGGACGGGACACCACTGGCGAAAGCTCTTGTCGGCGACAGGAGATGACGTAGGGCTAATCCAGTCGGCCAGACCTACGCTGTCGTCGTCGTCAGGGGCCGGCGTCAGGAGGCGGCGTAGGACCAACCCAGTCGGCCAGAACTGCACTGTCCTCGGAGATCACGAGGACACAACCAGTCGGCACGGAATCCAGCGAGCAACTACCGACAGCCTGGGTTGTCAACTCACGCGCCTGGCAATCCGTCTATTTGACTGATTGATAAACAGCCGTTCAATGGACGATCACACAGCCATGGAGTCGACTAAATACCAAGCACATATATGTTAGCTTTTTTTTTTTCAAAAATAAATGTCGTGAGTCTAGCGCTGTGTCCGTTTCTTCTCGTTGTCCATATTCCAATCCTGTGGCTCCGTTATTCCACGACAAGCGTCGCCCTATCACAAATCTCACATTCAGGCAGTAATTTTTGTGAGTGAGTGAGTGAGTGAGTGAGTGAGTGAGTGAGTGAGTGAGTGAGTGAGTACATCATGGCGGTTATTCACGCAGCGCCGAATAACGCACCACACAGAGCTACCTTTATGAAGACGATTCCCTGTAAAAGTGACCTGAGGCGACAGCCGGTGAAAAGCAGTAACTCCATGTGGTAGGAAGAGATGAGCCACTCCCCCACGCAGGTCACCATGAAGAGCAGCGACGCTATCGTTCGGCCACTTGTGCCGCTTGTCCGGATCAGAAGCCTGGGAAAGCAAACATCGTTCCTTGTCATTGAAACAACCCATTAAAATGTGAACATCGAACCAAAATAACCTAACGAGCATGCGAGAAACTTACTCCAGCGCGGGAACTCTGGCGAAGATGCAAGAGAAGTAAGCCAGAGTACATAGGGCAAGCCGCAATATGTCGATCCACAACACCTTGAGGACGTTGCTGAGGAACGTCTTGGCCGACAAGGGCTGGCGACGTCTTTTTCTTAAAACACAAAGCAGCAAGATTCTACAATTAGCCATACAAAATGACTTACTCGTTTTCCTTTCGAGACACTTCGAATAAACATGCCATGGTCCATGTTGGTAGAAGTATTATATTGTCGTAGCTCTTAGCATGCAGTCTACAACACCGTGTGATAGACAACACGTAACAGAGGCATGTAAGAAAGAAAAAATCATCATTGCCCACTTAAGGGAATCGCGTATATGCGAAGCAGCGGGCGCTAACGCTTCCCCTGGTAGCGACGTTGATGCTGGCGCCGCTCATCCAGGAGTTTCGCAGGAGAAAAAATCTGGGTAGTCGCAAAGCACGCAGCCATTGACCATTCACTACTGAAACATGTCAATCGCTGCTAATGCGCAATGAGAAACAGAGGACTTCGATTGGACACAGAGACCCGCAGTCCGCTTGTAGTTAATGCGCGCAGAGCGAATGTTTATTGTTAAACATCGCACAGGAGAAATCTCCTACCGGCACTACCTTGGAGTTCAAGATCCAGTCCGTATATATACAAGGTGTCCCACGTAACTTTAGCCAGAGTTTAGAAATATGCCGGAACACGTAATTACGATACGACCAAATGCATGTATCTCATTGTTGCCTGGAGTTGGACTACTTTTGTATTCTCAAATATTGTTTAATTAGACATGTTTAATTAACTAACTGTTTAAGAAACGAATGTAGACGAGACAATCAATAGGAAAGTTGTAGATTGGTTTGCGAAACGTCGGATTAGACAGTTCTGAACTTTGTATCTGTTAGGTATTAGTGCTTTTCTTCTAATTACAAAGAGCCGCGAAATACAAAAAGAATATCACGTAACAAACCCGCTCGTGAGCCAGTGCGCGCAATGATTCTAGTGCTCCCTATCGTTCCACGCACAAACGACCATAGATAACATTTGCCCCATTGCGCTGTCTCGTCAGGGTCGCAACGATCGTGGTGGCTTTACGATGAACACGCTTTGCTATCGGCCACAAAAACGATAGCCGCTGTGACTGCTTATCGCTGTCAGTAACCGGTGCGAGGGAAGCGTGTCGTTCGTACGTGGAACGTTAGGGAGCTCTGGAATCATCGTGCGCACTGACGCGCGAGCGGGTTTGTCACGTGGTATTTTTTTATACTTCGCGGGCATTTCGAAAGTGACACAAAAACACTAATACCTAACAGGTAAAAAGTTCAAATCTGTCTAGTCGGACGTGTTTCAAACCGATCTACAACTTCCTCGTTGAAAGTTGTTATCTATCTTCGTTTCTTGAAAAGTTAGTTAATAAAAATATCTAATTAAACGATATTTGAGAACACAAAAAATAGTCTAACTGCAGGCAACGGTAAGTAACATGCATTTGGTCTCGTCGTAATCACGTGTTCCGGCATATTATTAAACTCTGGCTAAAGCTACGTGGGACACCCTCTATGTATACAGGGGGGCCAGTGAACAGTTGGGCAACGCGAGCAGTCTACATTTTTTTTTTCAATCAAGAAACTCGCTAGCCCACGCTGCCTGCTTCGGCATTGCGAGGCGAGAAAGGGGGAGCGTAGCAGAGCAGGGAGAGAGGGAGAGGCCGCGCATGCGCGATATGGCTGTAAACGCCGCGGGGAGCAACGTTACTGTAAATCAGAGCACGCGGTTTTTCTTCGAAACCTCCCTAGTGCCTTCATCGCTTCAGCTACGACGTTTGCTGCATTTGACAAGCAAAAAGCAGTTTAACAAACACTTGTCTATTGTCAACGTGAACTAGAACGGACACCAGTGTGGCGTAGCGTCTCCTCGCAACGACAGGCATCGCAAAGAGATGGGCAGGACTAGGCACAGGTTTCAACAACTTATATATGATCTAGTTTTCGCACGCCCGCATTTTTCTGCCAACAGTAACTCCTGAGATTTTGAATTAACTTGGTGTTTGACTGTGCTGTCTAAACCGATCTCGGAGGCCACGTAGAAATTAGCGCGCTGTTGAGATCAGCTCCGCCAGGTGTCACCACGATCTGAACTGCTCTCCAAGAAACAGCCTGCTGTGTCAATGAACTGATTCGGTTAATTTCTGTTGATTGTATCTTATAAAAAAAGATACGCTCGGATATTATATACATCACCTACCACGCTTAACTTGAATCAAAACCATCAATACCATGCGAGTTATCTTATAAAAACACTTTTTGAAAATATTCTGAAAACCGGGAGTGCTTCAAAACAAAAAGAATAATGTCGCGTCTTGCTCATGCTACACTGAAAAAGATTGAATTGTTTAGCGGAACCAGGATACCTATAATAAATCAGATTGCATATCAATCGTGTTTTTCAGACCAGTGCTCGGCAACCTGTGGCCAGAGGGCCGCATGTAGCCCATGGAGCAGTATTGTGCGGCCTCTAGCACGACGTCAGAACCCAAAGCCCCTCCTCTTGTCACTTCCCATCCGAAGGCTGACACGGCAGTTTTGACTTCAAATGGGATTAGGCAAACAAAGATTGCTTTCACTGGGCATGGTATTGATCTTCACAATTGGCTTTTCTTCCGTCACGAAAGCTGGCTAGGAATGTTGATTGGCAATAGTCACGATGAAGAAGTTTTTTTTTTCTTTGCGTGTAACACGCGTATACAAACTGCAACCTTGTGGCATGCTTGCTAAAAATTGTGGGGTTGCTATCTCCCCAAGCAACGTCGTTCAGGGCTCGTAGCGCACGCGGGTCTCGCGGAATAACCGCAGTTAGGTTTTGCAGCCGCCAAGCGAGCGGTGGCGCTGTGCTCGCCACGGTTTAGGGTTGGCGCGGTTGCACCAGCAGCGCCGCTTAGCGGCGAGAGTGGAAACAGTAGCGAGCCTGTTTGACGTTAACCACGTGACGTTAACGGCGAAAGGCGACGGGTGTCGCCTGCTCGGGAGTCCGCGGTGGTTGCCAACACCGGTCGTTTCCCGCGCATTCTTTGTATTGAGTCGAACATAGGCGACGTCGCATTCGCGGTAGCTTGTGTACACTAATGTTGCGTATGTGATTTATTGGCATATCGAATACGGCTATTTAGCGTGTCACTAGTGGTGAATTAGACTCGGCTGGCGATACCGTCGTTACAAAAGCACGTCACAAGTGAACCCATGCTTGGTTCGCTCAACCGCGTATGCTGTGTGCACTTGTTGTGAGAGTGCACGACAATTTTTCCGAGCCCACAAGAAACGCATAATTTATACTCCGGTTTTGCACATCATCATCAATGAGTTTTTTTTTTCTTTGCCTACAAGGACCCTCCTCCCCGCCACCCATCGCTTCAGCCCTCCCTCGATTGGCCATGCGACCTCCGCCATGTCAGTTTCATCCGACTGGACCCTCCGCCTCACAAGGGGTTACGACCCGGGCGTTAGACAATGCAGTGAACCGCGCGCATGTTTTATTCAAGATTGCCGTAATGGTACGGGCTACTTGTCGTTACCCTTTTGTCAGCCGCGACGTAAGCTCCCCGACCAAGTTCTTTGAGCGCAGGCCTCTTCGCAGCAACGGAATTTTCAGCGTCGAAGACTCCTGTTTGTTCCACCTTTCCAAGAAAGTACTGCGCCAGAGAAGAACAGCTTGAATTCGCGTACATTTCGAGACGACATCACAATTTCTAAGAGCTTTTGACTGGAATCGCTTACGGGAAAAGGCAGAGGCACGCTATCTTGGAGAAGACCGAAACGCTGTCCTCGTTCAGGTAACCTTGGTGCACCTGGGCAGAATAATTTTGAAGAAGAAATTTGCTTCATATCTGGATAGGAAATAAATGCGATCGTTAGCTACCCTTAGGTTTCCTGTCCATTGTCACTTGGCTTATACGGCCACGACTAATACACCTCCAACAACTGAGTTAGCCTGATAATCGTACATTTTACGGTCGAAGGTATACTGAATCATTGGCTGCGTCCGAGCTATATGGTTAGTACACTGACATTATGAAAGTCGTAAACTCACGAAGCCGGACACAAGAAGACGACACACAGAGAGTTCGTAGCTGCACCTATTACATGCGTAGATGCGTGCGCTCAAGGAGTGGGTGAGTAAAGCAATTTCACTACGGCGTCTCTCATAATCATGCGGTGGTTTTGAGACGTTAAACCCCACAGATCAATTATCAAGATTTAGCTGCCAGCCGCACTTACTATAACACTACAATTAGCTACTAATACATTCACTGCTTGGCTCTTGCCGTAGAACTGAGACTTCTTCCCGATGCCACGGCGCGTGCATCTTTACTCGAGCGGAGATCCGCGAGACATCTCTCCATCTCGGAGGCTCTTGATCTGGCGGTACTGATTGTTCCAGCCCCAACCACAAACCTACCAAAAATGGCAGAGGGCAGCACAGGAATATGTGAGTGTATTGAAACTTACGTGAACAGTGGGCGGTCTCAGGGAGATCACGTGGTCGTGAATTCCGGCGCATACGAAATTTCCCGCCGTGCACACCGCAAGCAAGTAGGTAAGGATGACGTCACTTCGGCTCATGCTGTTGTGATTGAAGGCAATTACCTAGAGAGAATAAAGGCGACTGCTAGAAAATACTCAATGCGCTTCCCTTCAAAGATTTGATGCTCATTGTATACATTCCCATTATGATTTTGGGGGGTTCGGTGAAGCCAGGCGAAGCCAGAATTTCGTTCGTAAGCTACGGTCACGAGTAGTTGAGCTGTAGCTAAAAAAACGAGACCAAGAGATAGATGGCACATACAACGCTATACTTCCAACCAAGTTTATTTGAGGGAAGAGTACGGTTTTTGAGCCAGATTATAAGCGTATGCGATCGCTGATATGAAACAACGCTGATATGATCGTAAAAAAGCATAAAAGCCTTGGCTCATACACGCACGCGCTATTAAATCCTGAATTAAACTTCACTGTGCAGGCCTAGTAAAAAGATGAGCTTGTTGAATCAGGGCTGACGTCGGCTTTCATAGCATGTGTGAGTACCGAGCAAGGCTTATATGCTTTTCGCATTCTTATTGGCG